CAGTCCATTTCTGAAGCCAAATTGTGTTTCATCCTGGTCTTCTTCACATTTCTAAGGCCAAATGTTCTAAAATTCAAATAACGTTTCTTCGGTAGTAATTTATAAAAGGCAAATCTTCTTTCAGGTCTTCCCTAGTTAAAAGGAACTGACTGCAAATCATACACTTCTAGTTGGAGGTCAGATCTTACAATTTCAACACATATAGTGAGCGTATAACTAAACAGTAAAAATAGAATATCACAACGTAAAATGACCAAAAACTGAACCAGTTTTTGGGGAAAACTCTTCAAAACCATTTAAAAGTATTCAAATAAATATTTATAAGTGTTTTTTTTTAGTTTCTAGCATCAAAAATTAACCAGTTACACTAAAAATAAAGTTGGTTCCTTTTTTTGTAAAATCATTGTAAAAATCACCCCCTTATTAGCATTCTAAATAAAATTAATCGTTATTGCTTTACAACTTACTTTATTTAAGTATTGTTTATACGATCTGTAAGTTTGACCCATTTAAAGTACTTATTTAGAAAAAATAGGCTTGTAAAGTAAAAAAAAATGTGAATTTAGGTATGAGATTGAGACCAAAGTACCATCTGTTGGCCGTGCAAATTCTGCGGTTTATTTCTGCCGTAGTATTATTTTCAGTGTTAAGGAGCGCTACCAGGTATACAAATTTATTATATTTATTATATATTTATATTTTATATGCACAAATAACAACCAATGGTTGTCATTTATGACATACGTATTACATATACATATATATTATTTTTCTTAGTTAGATTGAACAGTATACAGGGGAGAGGGTCTCCCAAACCGTTATTTGTTTTAAAATGTTCAGACAGTTCCCCCTGAATTCGTACTCTACATTTAACGTTTTTCAGAGTTAGTTATGTTAAATTTACCAACTGAACATTCCTAGCTCTTTCATTCCTTTAAACACTTCTCTTCTATTCACAGAGTCGTGGGCTGCTTTGTAGTCTATAGTTAAAGAAACTGCCAAGATGTACAGAGTAAAAGAAAATTTCATACATATAAAATTTGTTTTATGTTAGGCATAATAAAGTATTTCCATGTTTTATTAGTTTTTTTTTATTAAGACCCAATGTAATATTTTAAAGTACTTGTATTCTCTACGTGACCCATTTTTATGCAACTTCGGTCTTTCCATATGTTCATATGTGAATAGTTTCGGAATTTAAACTGCGGTTCATGTCGTGGATCTTCTATAATACGTGCAGCTTTGTAGTGAAGTTTTACGTGTTTGTACGACTTTGGCATATACTCCTGATTCAGGTCGTTAAGGTCAGATTGTCTAGCTTTAGAATATTCTACAGTATTTATCTATTTCAAAAAAGCACGTTGTATTTTATATTTTTGTCAAGAAAAAATAAAATTTATATATATTTTAGGCAATTAAAGAATTTGTATTTAATGGTAAAAAGGGTGTTTTGTTCAGAAGTATAGAAATTTTAAATGGAACAAAAAAAGATGATTTTTATCAATTGACATGAAATTGACTTAATTTGAAAGATAATATTGCAGCATTATAATTTAAATATGATTTCTGGCATATGACCATCATAGCTGGTTCTGACGTAGTCTAATCTAGAGGTCCAATTTTCGATCACTTTTTCCAATATTTGTCGACGTATATCGGCAAAATTGCGGCCAGTGCTGTCCTTTAAGTGATCAATCGCTTTATGCTTATTGGCGCAGACTAGCACCTTTACATATCTCCATATAAAATAGTCTAGCAGTGTTAAATCACACGATCTTGGAGGCCAATTCATGGTCCGAAAATTTAAACTATGCGGTTAGCAAACGTTTTCCTCAATAAATCAATTGGCACGGGATGTATGACATTTTGCGGTGTCTTATTGAAACAACAACTCTTGCACATTATAATTGTTTCAAATGGGGAATGAAAAACGCAGTCATCATGGCTCTCTACAATCATCATTGACTGTAGTTCTGGCTAGCATTTTTTTTAAGAATGATGATCCAATGATTCCACCAAACCATAAAGCACACCAAAGAGTCAGTTTTTCTGAATGTAACTGAATAAAACTGCGTGTTAATGTTATGTGAAATCTTCGTTTTTTCCCGACACCTGCATGCTCAATGATTTCTTTCTCTCATAAAAAATATAATTATACCTTTGAAAATACCAGAGGACAAACATATATGATCGACTATATTCTTTCAAATAAGGAGATATTTCCTTCAAAAATTTTGGAACTAAAGGCACTAAAATTGAAAAAGGTACAAAAAAAACTAAAAAACAGAGAAGCTGCAGATAAAGATGGGATACCAAATGATTTGATATAAGTTAAATGCTCGAATAAATGAACTTTGATAATATAAAAGGCAAATATCGAGCACAGTATTAATTTAATCTTGCCAAAGACCAAATGATTTGTTGACATATGGTGGAGCGGAAATAACGGAACTGACAACATTAAGTAACAAAATTATAAGATACAATAAACTCGCAGAAGATTGGAGGACAAGCGAGCTAATTTTATTATTTCAGCAGGGCGCCAAAAAACAACCAAAAACTAAAGAGGCATCAATTTGTTATATAATAGAGTGAAATTTGCAACTAAAATAGTAATAATCTTGAGTGAGAGAAGAGACGAAGCATAAGAAAGGAGTTATAAAAGAGCTCAACAAAAGATTAATACTAGTTTCATAACAATATATAGATTATTGAATACGTCTCCGGAGGCGTGTCAGGCAGAAGCTGACCGCCGTGCCGGATGCATTTAGAAATTCGGAGAAATACTTGGAAATTCCAAGTGTGGGCAAATCCGAATTTCTAATTGACTCGATGTAGGGAAATTCCACTTTTACTACGTAAAACAAAGGATTTGTTGTATATAAAAGCAGACGGAATTTCTCTCATCGGTCAGTCGAGCTTGCCTCTTCTTCTGTAGACCTAGTCGGTGCTATTATTGTTTCGACTAAGCTATTGTTTTATTTTTTTATTTCCTGATAACCATTTATATTTTAATATTGTATATTCAGACCTTTTCAGGTTAGAATATTACTTTGACTTATATTTGTTCATGTACTGATTTATTTACTATTTTATTTGATTATTTTGATTGTTTATATTTCTTGTATTTGTGTCTAAGTAGTTCTTTCCGGTAAGTTAAAGAACTCTTAGAAATATTTTCTGATATTTCATTTGTGTTTCATTGTGTGTCTAAGTTGTTCTTTTTCGGTAAGTCAAAAGAACACTTAGAAATATTTCCATATTCGCATTCTTATTTCTGATATTTCGTATACTTGTCTCTCTTATTTTTATTTTCACGCTAAGTCGTTTCTTCCGTAAGTCAAGAAACACTTAGCTATATTTCTATATCTTTTCCACATTTTATTTTCTTATTTTCTATTACAAGTTGTTTCTTCCGTAAGTCAAGAAACACTTGTAGATATTTATATTCTTCTATTTGCATATTTGATTCTCTTGTTGTTTTTCTGTTCTAAGTTGTTTCTTCCGTAAGTCAAGAAACACTTAGACATATTTTTCACATATTGTTTTATATTTACTTATTTCATTTGTTTATATTCCTCTCTTAAGTTGTTCTTCCGTAAGTCAAGAAACACTTAAGAACATTTCTGCATTCTTTTATCTTGTGTATTTTACTCATACTTCTGCATTTTCTATTCTTTGAACATGTACATTTTACTTTTCATTCTAAGCTGTTTCTTCCGTAAGTCAAGAAACACTTAGAAACATATTCTTTACATTATATTTATCATACCATTATATTTTATTGTTTGCTGAGTTATTCCTTCCGTAAGTCAAGGAATACTTAGGTTATTTTACCTGTTCTGTTTTCCATTTTTGATCTGTTATTTTGTAACTGTTCCTTGGAACCGTTACTTGTAACAGGTACTGTCGCTGTAACGGTTATTCTGTAACGGTAACAGTATTGACCCATTTCACTAGCGACAAGCGAAGATGGTAAACACCCGTTCCAATTCCGGAGACAGGAAAAAGTCCGAAGAGCCGGCGATGGGTCCTACAGGCCCAAATGCCCCCTCTCGGCAACAAATAGCATATTTCATGAGTCATATCCTCAAGATTTTTTGGAAAGATTACATACAAAAACTGAAAAAAAACATGTTTTGCTAAAAATTATTTTAGGCACCCACATAACAGCAACATTTAAAGGTGTACAGGCAATTTACATATTTGATATTATTGAAATGTTTTACTGTAACTTGTAACATGGATATTGAAAATATCTAAATTTGAAGAAAACCAAGTTCATGGTATTTACAAAAGCACAAATCATCAAAGTACTAGAGTACTAGTAATATTACTAGATAATACAGAAATTGAACAAATATCTTCGTACAAATACCTTGGAGCATCGATCACAGAAGATACTGATCAGACAGAGATCAATATATCGCTTCGGATAAGAATGCTTCGATGATATATTTTCTCTACCCTTTTAGATGGGGTTGAAGCTTGGATACATAAAAAATCCAACTTTAAAAACCTAGAAGCATTCGAAATGTGGTGTTACCCACGTATTTTGCAAATATCATGAATGGATCGCAAAATAAACGAACAAATTCTTAAACAACTAGGAAAACAATGCGAAGTTTGAAATTTCATAAAAATCAGGAAATTGAAATACTTGGGGCACATCCTGAGAGGTGAAAATTACGAACTACTAAGCCGAAACTATAATGCAGGGTAAAATCAAAGGCAGAAGAAGCGTAGGAAGACGTAAAATCCCGTAGCTATTGAACTATTCAGGCGCGTAACCAACAAAATTATAATTACCAGAATGATTTCCAATCTCCGATAGGAGCGGAACTTAAAGAAGAAGAAGAAACAATTTTTCTTTAAAATACATATCATACAAAATTTACTATCTATTGATAGTTGCTCTATTGCGTTTTTAAAATATATATATTATAATATTTGGTGTAATTTACCTGTAATAGAAAATATGTTAAATGAATTATACATACTTCATGTCCCTGTCGCATTTGTTTCCGGCAAATACCATAGGTACACGTGGTAAAGTCTTTTTTCTGGTTAATCCCACTCCTCCGCCGGTTGAAGCTAAGGCGTTAACCTTCGTTTCCAATATCTGCTCTCTAAGTCGGGCAGCTTCTTCAAAGCTTTCTCTACTGTCCATACTAAATACGATGACAAAAATATCACCTGAAATAACGAAATATGTATACATTTTATTTCTTTGTTTGCGTTTTTAAGACTTTTAAAACAAAAAACTCATTGTTTATCTAAAATAACTAATAACTAGTAATAATGAACATTGGCGGTTGTATATAGTTACAGCAGTTCTGTAATATCCATACCCATGGTACAAAGAATAACAGGTATGATATTGCGCAGGCCACTCCCCTACTGTCGTAGGGGAGTTTTGATCCAAATCCTTGAGAAACCAAAGAAAGGACCCAACCTTAAGGGTGATGCGATTTCTTCTTTTCATCTACCACAAACAAAAAGCCTATCCATAAACCATCTTAAAAGAAAGGAAATCGAAGTCTTCCAAATCGAAGCCAAAGAGGAATGTGGAACAGATAATTAGACAATCTAGGTAAACTTTATTTTATTCTACATCTTTTGGTAGAAACACTTAAAGTATTATGACATAAAAGTAATATCTTAACATTTATTTTTAAATTCTACAGCTGGAGAACCAGGTGCGGACTTAGTGAACTCAGTGTGTCAAGAACTCAAAACTGATTTTCCTAAAACTATAAAATCAGTGGGGTATGTAAAATTTTCTATAATATGCTATGATCAGTCATCTGAATGAAAACCTAATAGTCTCAACTTTATGCAATATGTATAGTAGATTAAAAATATGTTTTTTGTTTTAAGAATAAATACAGATATGGAACCTGCACAAAATCTTTCTTTCTTTCTTTCTTTCTTTCTCCCCTTTCTTTTACCCTATCAGGGTGTCGGATTTGGGCTAGCTATTTTAATTTCCATTTACCCACCTCTTCCATTCTTTTCTGTTTCCTGTCATTATTTTCAATTCCTCGAGTGATTTTTGTTTAAATTTTCCCGCCTCTACTACTTGCTGTATCCATTTTTTTCTTGGCCTGCCTCTTGTTCTTTTTCCGATATTTTTTGCTTCATAACCTTTTTTTGTTATTCTATTGGATTGCATCCTCGTCAGATGCCCATACCAGTTCATTTGTCTCTTTGCTATTTTGTTCATTATCGGTTCCTGGTTGGCCATTCTCCTAATAGTCTCGTTGCTTAATCTATCCCATTTTGTCTTTCCAACTATCCTTCTTAGATGTCTCATCTCCATTGCGTTTATCCTGCTCTTATGTTTTTCCAGAATTGTCCAGTTTTCACTTGCATAGAGCACAGTCGGTATCACTATTGTGTTATATATTTTTATTCTTGTTTCTCGTGTAAGTTCTTTTTTTCCCATTATTGGGGCTAACGCATAGTATAACTTGTTTGATTTCTTTGCTCTATTTGTTATTTCCCAGTCTATTTTTCCATCATTAGTTATTATACTTCCCAGGTATTCGTAAGTTGATACTATTTCCAATTCTGAGTTTTTACATTTTATCTTTATTTGATTATCTTCCTGATCTCCATTGCCGCTGATTATCATTATCTTACTTTTTTCCTCGTTTATCTCCATTTTTAGTTCTTCTATTTGTTCTACCCATATATCCATTAGTCTCTGCATTTTATTCTCGGAATCTGCTATTAGTACTATGTCGTCCGCATAAATTAAGGACTCTATTGTTACCGGTTGTAATCTGTGGTAACCTATTATTGTCTGTAGTTGATTGGTTCTGATTCTAGTGTTTCTTAACAATTCGTTCATTACTATTATGAATAGCAAAGGGCTGAGACTATCTCCTTGTTTAATACCTCTCTTCTAATTAAATGCTTCCGATCTTTCCCCTGTTATTTGTACCCTTCCTTTTACCTCTTTGTAAGTACTTTCTATAATTTTTATCAATGCATTAGATACATTTATTTTTCTCAAGCATTTCCCTATAATATGTCTTTCTATCGTGTCAAATGCTGCTCTTAGGTCTATGAATGCTAATACTAGTTTTTCGCCCGTATCTATGCTTCTTTCTATTAGGTTTCTATATATATATCCCGTTTATAGCGTAATCCGCCTTTGGGTTCCCGTTCGCCAAGCCTGTCTATTCTGCCAGTCTTCTTCAAATAGATTTCTTGCTTACATGGCTTTTGAAATTCCTTGCATCCATGTTGTTGGTGGTCGTCCTCGTTTTCTTTTCTCTGGTGGTACCCATTCTAATATTTTTTTTGGTAGTCTTTCTTCCCCCATACGTCTAACATGTCCGTACCATGTCAGTTGTTGTTTTTCGATGTCTTCTATAATTGATCTTTGTACATTCATTTGATTTCTTATGTCCTCATTTCTCACATGTTCTAATCGAGACTTTCCCGCTGCTCTCCTCCAAAAATCCATTTCAACTGCCAAGAGGTTACCTTTAAGTTTTTGTGATAACTGCCATACTTCTGAGCCATACACGATTACTGGTTTCAATATTGTGTTATATATTCTTTTTTTCGTTTCCGGTCTTATATTTTTCTGCCATAGTACTGAATTCAATGCACCTATAACTCGTTTCCCTTTGGTTATTCTGTCTTTTATGGCTTCATCAGTTCTTCCTGTCTTTGTTAGTTTTACCCCCAAATATATACATTGATCGCATTTCTTAATTTTCCCGTCTTCTAAGTCGAGGTCATCTGCAGTATTTTCTCCTCCTATGCAAAGATATTGCGTTTTTTGTAAATTTACTTCGAGGCCCCATTTTTTGTACTCTTCCATTAGTTTTCTAGCCATATACTCTAGGTCTTCCTTGTCTTGGGCAATAACTACCTGGTCATCTGCATAATGCAGCGTGTATAACGTTTCATCCCCAATAGACAGCCTCATCCCTTTACACTTCTTTTTCCATTGCCTGAGTGCTTCGTCGATATATATATTAAATAGTATGGGAGATAAACAACAACCTTGCTTCAGTCCTTTTGTTACCTGAAAACCATTAGTAACCTTATTTCCTATTTTAACTTTTGATATTGTGTTGTTATATAGATCTTTAATAGCGTCAATTAGTGAAACGCTGATACTGGTTTTCTCCAATACTTCCCACAATTTCGCAACAGGCACGGTGTCATATGCTTTTGTTAAATCGACTAAAAGTAAATGCACTTCTCGAGATCTCAGTGTTCTTTTCTCGAGTATTTGGGATAAGCAAAAAATACTATCTATTGTGGATCGTCCCGCTCTGAATCCGTTTTGTTCTTCTGATTCAAAAGGACGGTATTCTTCGCATATGCGTTCTTTTATAATTCTCCCATATAATCTGCTAAGCGTACTCGTAACAGTTATACCCCGATAGTTATTGCAATCTTCCTTATTTCCTTTTTTATGGATAGATGTAATCCATCCTTCTTTCCAACTTTGTGGCACTGGTTCTCCGTGCAAGTGCCTATTGAAAACTTCTGTTAGTATCTCTATTAGGTTTCTAATTATATATATGTTGTCATTTGTCTGTCTTCCCGGTCTAAATGCCGTTTGTTCTTCTCCCAATACCATTTCTACTTCTTGTCTCAGTCTCTTTTCTATTATTTTCGTATGTATTTTAAAACATACCGATGACAGACATATTGCTCTATAGTTGTCGCAGTTTACATGTTCTCCTTTTTTGTATATTGGCACGATGATATTCTTCTGCCAGTCTTTAGGTATTGTTTGTTTTTCCCATGCCTCTTTATATATTTTCCATAGCCAGTTTATTCCTTCTTCTCCCATGTATTTTACCATTTCCGGTTCAATTTCATCGTCTCCAGCTGCCTTGCCTATTTTTATATTTGATAATCCTTCTATTACTTCTTCTTTACTTATTTGCTCTAGCTCTGTGTTTTCTTCGCCTTCATTGTTTATATTGTCTTCATTTATTACTTCGGTATCAAATTTTTTCTCATAATATTCTTTCCATACCCTAGCTACTTGTTCTGGGCTTATTTGTATTTGGTTTGAAGTATCTCTTACTGCGTTTATTTCCTTTCGTCCTCCTTGCCTTATGTGTCGAAAAAATCTTAAACTTCAAAAGTTTCGTGTCGAGAACAAAGCCTTACTTTAGCAGGTTGATGAATTAAGAAAAATGAAGTCAGGAGTAGATAAGATATTTAACAAAAGACAGCTAAAAAGACTACAAAGTCCCAAAGTCATGCTATTTACAAAGACTAATTGACTTATCGGAGAACATTAAATGTGACTACAAAATCAAAACATCTGTTCTTCCGATCTCGAATGTAGTTCAGAATTAGGAAACTAAACCAAAACTGAAAGAAGATATAAGAAATAAAAGAAAAATAATAAAAATTGTAATTTTAAATCTTGTGTTTGATTTGTTTTCCGATTTAAGTGATTAGATAATTAATGGTCAATTATTCTCATTCCGTTTACGTGCAACTAGACGAAGGCTGTTTTTCCTACTCGATACTGGCGCCAAATAAGACAATACAATCAAAAGTTTAAAAAGTTTACAAAGGTTACATTTGTAGAATTAAAAAGCAAAAAACAAAAAAAAATATTTTACACATTAATTTTTTTCACTGTATTATTTATTATTTTTTATCAAAATAATAAAACACCTCATCATCATCATCATCATCATTTAACCCGGATCTATCCACTGCTGGATATAGGTCTCCCTCAGCCTTTTCCATGTATTTCTGTTTTGTGCTGTTTGCATCCAATTTTTGTCGATCCGTTTTATGCCATCAGACCATCTTGTTGGTGGAATACATGTTGGTATAAAACACCTACATTCCAATAAATCCAAAATAGTTCAATAGAAACTCTATTAATCTATTAAAATGACTTTTTATTGCCAATTTAAACATTAATTGCATTCTGATTGCTAATGTTCTTAAGGGGAATATTTAAAATCACTCTCATTGTGACGCAATGCGCGAACTCGTCCCAATTTTGCGCTCGGGAGTGTCATACCTGTTATTCTTTGTACCATGATCCATAATAGTATATTACATAACGAGAGTTGTAAGAAGCTTATTACATGCGAGTAAAAAAGTTGCGCGCGAGCCGCGTAGCGGCGAGCGCGACAAGCATGTAATAAGCTTACAACTCAAGTTGTGTACTATACTTTTTCTACCAT